ACTAATAATTGAAATTAATAAATGAAACTAATAATTGAAACTAACAATTGAAACTAACAATTAAATCTAATAATTGCAACTAACTATTAAATGTCATAATTGAAACTAATATTCATTTAATAATTGAAACTATTAATTGAAACTAATAATTGAAATTAATACATGAAATTTATAATTGAAACTAATAATTAATCTAATAATTAAAACTAACAATTAAAACTAATATTTAATTGAAATTATTAATTAAAATTAATAATTGAAACTAATATTTAATTGAAATTATGATATGAAACTGTTAATTGAAATTAAAAATTAAAACTAAGAATTGAAATTAATAATCATTTAAAATTGTAATTGACATTAATAATTGAAATTAATAATTATTTCAAATTAATAATTTTAATTAATAATTGAAACTAATAATTAAATCAAATAATTAAAGCTAATAATTGGCACTAATAATTAAAACTAATATTTAATTGAAATGAACAACAAAATTAAATTTGCATAAATTAATAAAATTAATATTATAGTCTAGAAGGAACAAGAAAAATTGTAGAAAGAAAACTTTTTTTTCAGAAAAATGATTCGAAAAAGTAGGGAAATTTTTCAAAAGAATCAGGTTAAGCAGAGTGAATGAATTAGTAATTGGATTGGTGTCCCCTGAAGCGTTAAATAATTTTTTTCCTTGCAGCACGCTTACAATTTTTCAAATTTTTCTTTCCTCCTCTTATTTTCTTTTCAGTGTGTTAATTAGAAAAGAAATATTGATTTTTGCCAACGGGATTCAGAAACTATTTGAAAACCAAGAGCTTTTTTCTTCATTAACTAAAGTTTTTTCATTTTCTCTTCAAGCTCTCATGGATTTTTCCTTTCACCTTTCAGTCAGCCATCCACTCAGATTTTTTTTTCTTCTCTCCCGTCTTTATTTTTCAATGAGAATACAAATTTCTTTCTTCTCACGTCTTATTCAGAAAACAATTTCCAATTAAATGATGAAAAAAAATATTTATAAATTATTTAACGTTTAGGAAAAAAATTATTTACCGTTTATGAAAAAGATAAATTTGATTTTATAAAAATTATTTTATAAAATTAAATTTATCTTTTTTATATTTTTTTCAGATATTTTTTTTTAGTAACATTTTTTTTTAATTTAGTAAAATATAAATTTTACTAAATTAAAAAAAGAAGTTACTAAAAAAAAATATCTTGGATTATAAAAAATCCCAAAAGTTGGACCATGAATCGTGGTGAATTATTTTCTTGGAACTATAAAATGCGGATCAATTTGCGAATAAATTAGAACGGAAGTACCGTAATTATACAATAATGTATTTAGAAGAATGGAAAAAAAACTGGAGACTAAGAGGGAGGGGTGTTAAATGGGAGAAAATCTCGGAGACTGAAGAAAGAGTGTTCTCTTTAAAATACAAGTCTCGGGTTGGAACAATACGAGATTACGGAATATACATAAGGGCCGGAAAGAGTGAAGGAAATGGCGGAAGCGAGCTCGCGGAGGAGATAAAAATAGGGAGAGAAAGAGAGATGATGAAAGATATCAATAGAAGGGCAGAAAAAAGCAAAAAAAAAAAAATTAATAAAAAGCAAAAAGAAAATGGAAAATAAAAAATAAAAAAGAATCTAGATAATTTCATAAGATTAAATATTTATTTATTAATATATTTATTTCTTTTTATACACGGGTACATAAAGGAACCCTTTCGTACAAAAGTTTTTATGTATAACATAATTAAAAAAAAAAAAAAAAAAAAAAAAAAAAAAAAAAAAAAAAAAAAAAAAAAAAAAAATCTTGTTTTTGTTAAGATTAGGGTTACGAATCTTTAATAAATGTAATTTTAAAATAAAACTATTAATTTAAAAGTTTATTTTGAAATTAAAAAGGAAATATTTTGTAGAGATAAAAAAAATTTTACTTTCCTTTATTTGTTTAAAATAAAACCATTTTCCTTAGTGTGAATATAAAGGTTGAACTAAAAATAAATTTAAAGATCAAGTCAAAGATAGAGATAATATTTTTGAGATGTGAATAAAAATAAAATTAGAGATTGTGATAAAAATGAGCATAAAAATAAAGATAAAAAGCAGAAAAAACTGAATGAAAGTTGAAGATAAAAATTTTATCTTTAGAATATTTGAACATAGAGTGAGAAATAAATATATTATTGAAGGTAATAATTAAAAAAAAATGAAATAGATGCTTAGAATATTTTTTTTTTTTTTTTTTTTTTTTAAAGTAGAAAAATAAAATAGTTAAGAAAATAAAAAAGTAGGAAAATAAAATAGTTAAGGGCATTTGAACCTTGATGACGTTACACTTTGTGCAAAGCATGTGTGACGTCATCAAGGTTCAAATGCCCTTAAAGAAATATAAAAAAAAGTAGGAAAATTAAATAGTAAAAGAAAAATAAAAAATTAGAAAAGTAAAATAATAAAAAAATAAAAAAGTTGAAGAAATAAATTAGTGAAGAAATGAAAAAGTAAATAAGTAAAAAAAAGTAGGGAAATAAAATACGGGGTTGCCACAAGTCAGGGAAGACGGGGACTTTTTTTTAAAGTACTGGAAAAAATTAAAACTTTACTAATTCGTAAGAAAATTCTGAATTTTTGTGTCTTTTTTGTTATCCTCATAAACTATGATATTAAAGGACTTCAATTATTCACAAAATTTTTTATTAATTTTTTCGGAATAATTCAATTATTTTCATAAATAATAAAATTCGCAAGAAATCGCAGAATTTAAATTATTTTTAATACAATTTTAATTAAATTCCAAGAAAAATGTAATTATTTAAAAAAAATTTATTAAAAATCGTAGAAAGAATTTAATTATTTAAAAATTTGTTGATAAAATTCTTTATAGGAATTCAATTTTAAGAAATATTCAATTATTCAATAATTTATGTATTTTTGTATTTAAATAATTGAATTCTCCTAGAATTTTCTTATATAAATTGATTTAAAAATTAATGTTAGTTAAAATTTAAGAAAATAATTAAATATTAAAAGCATTATAGCATGAATTTTTAGAAATAATTGAATTTTGAAAAGTTGTAAAATTAAATCTTTAAAAATCTGAATTGTTCAAAGTTTTAACTAACAATTCTGTACAATTAATTTTTTTTAAAAAGTTTGAAGAATGTTCATTAAAATAACAATAAAAAAATTGAATTTCAAAGAAGTTATAAATAATTGCAAAAATTCAATTATTTTCAAAAAATAATAAAATTCTTTGAAAAAATTCAATTATGTTCCAAAATTAAAAAAAAATTCTCTTTAAAAATTCAATTTTCTTTATAAACAACAAAATTCTTGTACAATATTCAATTATTTTCTAAAATTTTAATAAAATTCTTCTGAAAATTTCAATTATTTTTAAAAAATCTCCTCAATTTAATATGATTTTCAATTAATCAATAATTATTTATTTTCATAATTAATAAAAACTTCAGAGGAATTAAATTACTTACAAATTTTTTTACAATAATTCAATTATTTTAATAAATAATAAAATTGTTTATAGGGATTCAATTATTGTCTTAAATAATAAAATTCTTTTTAGGAATTCAGTTATTTTCATAAATAATAAAATTCAAAAAAAATCGCAGAATTTAAATTACTTTTTGTATAATTTTAATCTATGTAATTTCTCGAAAAGTGTAATTATTCTTAAAAATTTTATTAAAAGTCAGGAAAAGAATTCAATTATTTAAAAATGTTTTCATAAAATTTAATTTATGAAAAGTAAAATTCTTTATGAGAATTGAATTTTAAGAAACATTCAATTATTCAATAAAATATTTACTTTTATATCTAAATAATTTAATTCCAGTAGAATTTTCTATTAAAAATCTTTTACAATTTAAATTTTTTATACTTTTAACTAACAATTCTGCAGAATTAATTTTTTTGAAAAAGTTTAATAGAATTTTTTTTGAAATTATGTGGAGTTTTTTTAAAAATAATGTCTAATTGAAAAATTTCTAAATATTCAAAATCTTAGTGTAAAATCGAATTGTAAACAAATGGATTTGAAAATTTTCAAAGAAATTTTTCAAAAATTATTATACCTATTAAAACTAATAATTGATTTAAAGAAGAATTTTAGTTAAAAATTCTAGAAAATAATAATTGACTTGAAATTATGAAAATAATTTTGAATAAGTTACAGTAACAATATTCTTATAATATAAAATAATGATTTTATCACTCGGTCATCTTTAATTATTATTAGTTTTAAAATTCCAAAAAGGTTTGAATTTGAAATTTTTAAAAATCTTAATTCCTATGTAAAATAATAATTAAATATTTATTTAAAAAGAGGAAATAAAAAATATAAAAAAAATTTTTAAAAAGATTTTAAAAAGAAAACAATTAAAGAAATTCGTAAATTTTTTTAACTTTTTTTTATTTAAAAAATTTTTTATTCTTAATAATAATAAAACATTTATTTAAGTATCTAATCTTTTTTAGAGTAAATCAGAATATTCTTTAAGTTCAGGGAAAAAGTCAAAATTTTGTCTGAAAATCAGGGAAAAGGGAAAAAATTAAATTTTTTTTGTTGGCAACCCTGGAATAGTGGAGAAAGAAAAAAGTAGAGAAATAAAATATTAAAGATATTAAAATGTGGAAAAATAAGAAATTTGAAAATAGAGTAAAAAGTAGAGTAAAAAATAAGAAATAAAAAGGAGAGTAAAAAATTAAAAGTAGAGTAAAAAAAAGAAAAGTTAAAAATTGAATAAGAGAAAAATGTAAAAGTATTAAAAATAAAAAAGTAAAGATCCAAATTACAGAAATAAAATGAAAAGAAAGAAATTGGCTAAATAGAGAAGTTAAAAAAAATGGTGATTGAGATGGAAGGAGAAAGGCTCCGGCGGGGGCCGCTCGTCCAAAATAAAAAAAAAAAAAACAATTCCAAATTGTCACAAGAATGAGCCTGATGACAACTGATCGAACAATTTCTATCTGTTGCTTCGCAGATATGTCTTCACCATCATCAGTTACCTGATTGGCGTCTTCATATTTGCGACAATTGTCGGCCAAGTGGGAAACGTAATAACAAATCGAAACGCGAATCGCCTTGAATTTGAGAGACTATTGGACGGTGCAAAAACATACATGCGACATCATAAGGTACCGGGCGGTATGAAGAGACGTGTATTACGTTGGTATGACTACAGTTGGTCGAGGGGCAGAATACAGGGTGGGGGCGATATCAACACTGCCCTTGGTCTACTGCCAGACAAGCTTAAAACGGAATTGGCTCTTCACGTCAACCTTTCGGTACTCAAGAAGGTCACCATTTTTCAGGTGAGCGCTCATACCCACAAGGATCAAAGCGGAAGAGAGTGAGACAGATACATACACAGACACAAACACATACCCAACTTATTATCTTCGATTCACTCGCTCGGACGAAACATGTTCACTTGAACGAACATTTGCAACGTATTCTCTTGTCTACTTCTCAAGCGTGTTGCCATAGTAGTAAAGAGAGATAAAGAGAGAGAGAGAGAGAGAGAAAACGACAGAGGCGAATTCCATCAAAATGCGGATGTGATAATCAGGCATCAGTCGATTTCAGCTTCCGTGATTCGTCCGAGCGAAAAATTATCCCTGGCACCCCTATTTTGCCATTTAGTTTCAATATCACTTTATAATTGGAATTTTTGCTTCATGTTCTTTTTTCTACTTGGATGTATTTTTAGGATCCTTCAAGTGGAGGAAGAATTTATTTCTATAAAGGCAGGCGGCTTCCATAATTCGTTTTTTCTGTATAGGGACTTTTGGGAAATCTTACAGATACCAATTTCGCAGTTCAAAGTTATGCGGGATTGGTATAAAAGGAAAGAAATGATAAATAAAACGTTTAGGTCAAATAGCTGCCGATCCACTAAAAACCGTAACCCCTTTGCCCACACTCGGAATTATCGTCATAGCCTTCGAGGGTGATGCTCCATTTCTGTCGCGAATACGACTTCCTTCAATATTTGCGGATATTCGGCGTCGATAGTTAAAAGCGGAATTTACAACATAAAATTTGAAAAAAAAATTGGTTTTCGTACTATCTATCTTCTTTTGAAATCCATTCGATGCACATCCTGCTCATTGTAACGACAGAGCTTGTGCGAATAGCCTGAGTGAACTGAGAGCGGACTACCATTACCATTAAAAGATATTTATTGAGATCAGTAAAATACAGAGTAAAAAATACACATGTAGATTTGTAACTTAAACTATGGCTCCTATCTTTATTGCGATTTATCCATAGATATTCTTTTATGTTATGCTTAATATTTCTCTTTTAGTAAAAATATATATATCTATGTGTTTTAGGAAAAGTTTTATAAAAACCTAATTGATCTGATTTTCTATATAACAAAATTTAACAAAAAAATATAACTATGTAGGACTTATTTATACTATTTACATTATTTACAAGCTATTGTATTAGATGGTTAGGTAATTTATATTTAATTTTGAATGGCGCTTCGTTATACTTAATTTTACATGTGTTGCTTAAAATATCTAAATTATTTAACTTATTAGTATAAAAATCTTCAGTCAAACTATATATTATTTCTTTAACAGTTTTAATTTTTAATTTTCTATGCATAAGAATGACTTTTTTGCTTCTCTCAGCATTTAATATTAATCGTAAACATTTGTTTTGTAGTTTTTGTAACTTTTCAATATAGGTTTCATAAGTACTACCCCAGATGGGAGCTGCATATAACATAATAGGTCTAATTATCGTTTTGTAAATAATCTCTTTGTTTTGAATGCTCATTTTGCTTTTTCTATTTAAAAGGCAATATAATTGTCCAATTACTTTAAAAGTTTTAATTAGGGTTTCATTAATATGCTGAGTATAATTTAACTCGTTGTCTAAAAACATACCTAAGTATTTTACTTTAGGTTTAGGTTTAATTACTTCTTTGTACATTTCAAGTTCGGGGATAAAACTATCTTTTGGTTTGTGACTGAAAATTATAAATTCTGTTTTATTTGCATTAATTTTGAGCTTCCATTTGAGATAGTACTCTTCTAAAACTAAAATATATTTTTGGAGGTTTTGTGCTAATTGTTTCTTTCTCCAAGAGGAATTATATAACGCAGTATCGTCAGCAAATATTGCTATTTTGACTTTGTCATCCTTTGGTATGTCATTAATATAATATAAGAAAAGGATTGGGCCTAATACTGATCCTTGAGGGACTCCGGCTACTACATCTTTTACGGTAGATGTTTGACAATTTATGTCTACTACAAATTTTCTATCTTTAAGATAGTTTGATACAATTTTAATCAAGTAATAATTTAATTTTAAATCATGTAATTTAACTATCAGACCTTTATGCCAGACAGTGTCAAATGCTTTTTCCATATCAAGGAAAACAGCGCCGGTGCTTTTATTTAAATTAAAATTTGTCGATATATGATCTACTAATCTAGCTAGTTGTTTAACAGTACAATGTTGAGATCTAAATCCAAATTGTTCAGGAATTAGTAGCTTATGTTCGAATTCAAAATTTTTAATTCTATTTAATATTATTGTTTCAAGAAGTTTACTTAGGCTGCAAAGTAGACTGATTGGTCTATAACTTAATGCTAATTTATGATTTTTACCTTGTTTTGGTATGGGGATTATTTTTGCACATTTCCAGCTTTGAGGAAAGTAGCCCTGTTTTAAGCAAGCATTGAAGATGTAGTTCAGTTGAACTATAGCTTTCTTTGGTAGCATTTTCAATATGATATTCTGAATTTTATCATGCCCCGGGGCTTTTTTAGACTTAGTTTTTGTAATTATCTTTTTGATTTCCCTTGGTGAAGATAGTTCTACTTCATCAAGGTTTATTATTGGATTTAAAATTTGTTCATATTTATCATTTATTTCTTTCTCAAATTTAGCGCTACCAAAGTTTGCTGTCAACCTGTGTACACCCTCAAAATTACTTGCTATTAATTCGGCTTTTTCCTCATCTTTGAAAATAATATTATTATTGTCCTCTAGGGGAGGAATAAAAGAATTATTTTTACCTTTTAAAGCTCTTGTCATTTTCCAGAGCGAATTATCTTTTATGTTTAGTGAGACTAATTTTTCTTCCCATTTTTTATTTCTAAATTTATTAATAGCATCTTTGATTTTCCTACTCGCTTCATTTATAAATGGTTTCAAATATTGGTATCTGTATTTTTGAGAAATTTTTCTAAGCTTATTCCTTTCATTTATTTGTTTTATTATTTCTGAAGGTAATTGATATTGATATTTAAAAGGTTTTGATCTAGGTATAGACCCATCCATTGCATTGTCAATTATATTTGTAAATTTTTCAACTTGCAAGTCAATGTCAGAAGTAGAGTCAATTTTGGAGTCAATTTTTAAATTTTTGTTTATTAACTCTCTAAATTTAGTCCAATTTGCTAGTTTGTAATTTAAAGTTGGAGGTTTATTTTGTGTGTGATTTATTAAAGAATTACTAAGGGTAATTAGAACTGGTTTATGATCTGAATTTAGTTCATCTAATGTAATGACTGATTGGATATTAGTAATATTTTTAACAATAGATAGATCTACAACACTAGGTTTTGCCTTACGATTGAAAGGATATAATGTAAAACTATAGGGTGCTTCGATATTTAGTAATCTATTCTCAACAAAATTAAAGAGGATTTTTCCGTTTTTATTATTATTATAACAATTCCAGCAAACATGTTTTGCGTTTAAATCTCCGGCAGCTATTATTTTATTATTTAAATTAAAAATACTGTCTAGATCTTGTTTGGAAATATTTTGAGCTGGAGCATATAAAGAAACGATTAATATATTATTTTCTAATTTAATGGCATGTGCTTCTATAGTTTCAAGGTTATCTATATGAATCTCAATACAAGGAATTTCATTTTTAACAAACAGGGCTACTCCTCCAGCTTTTTTGTTAACTCTATTTTTCCTATAGCATCTATAACCTGATGGAGGCTTTGGAAATATGTCATGTTTGAACCATGTTTCTCCAATTAACAATATGTCTACATTGTATCTTTGGAGAAAAATGGGCAATTCATGCATTTTATTATTTAGTCCATTTGCATTCCAATGTACTATTCTAAGTTCACGAAAATTATTTGGGCTATTATCCATCTAATTCCTGAGCAATTTTGGATATGGCCATTATTCTATCTAAATCGTTATCACAATTTTTTAATAAGTCTCTTAAATTATATGCTAATTTGATTACCTTGTTTAAATCACAGATTTTGTTTATCTCAGCTAAGACGTCCAGTAGTTCCTTGAATTTACCTGGGTTGTCATCACTTCTGCTTTGGTTTGTGTGTCTGCTGTAGCTTTCCTTGATGGGGTTGATATCGGCGTTTGCTATTGTGTGTTTGACCTTCAGTTGAGGGAAGTCCTCGGCAGTAAATTTCGGAGGGTCCTTAATTTTGGGCGGCAGGGCCCAAGTCAAGCCCCTTTTTTCCTCGATTTTGGTCACATGTTGAAGATAAGCTGGGCACTTGCTGTAGTTGGCTGGATGGGATTGTTTACAGTTTGTACACTGTGCTTTGTCCTCCTTCTTTTTTGGACAGTCTTTGGTGAGATGATCTTGTATGCACTTTACACATTTTGGGTCCTCATGGCAAAATTTGGATCCATGGCCAAATTTTTGGCATCTGTGGCACTGTGTAGCTTTTCTTTTGCTTTTAAACTTTTCCCACTTCACTTTCACGAACAAAATGTCCTTCACTTTAAATGCGTCACTGGATTTGGTGTTATTGTCCAATACTATCATGTAAAATGGGTTAATTTGTGGTTTATCTGCTGCTTGTTTCATTATAACACACTTTGACACTCCAATACCTTTGTCACTGAGATCACTAATTATTTCACTCGTGGTGAGAGTTGGTAGGCCTTTAACTACGAGACTTTTACTTTTTTCTTCCTTCGAAGCGTAAGTGAAGAATTTCGTTTTTCCAATTTCCAATATTTCAATAATACTGCGGTGGTCTTTGTAGCTTTTTGTATGTATAGTGTAGGATTCCTTCTTCAATGTGATGGAGATTTGCTCGGTGCTGTTTTTGTTTAATTCTCGCATGAGTTGTTGTACATTTGCCAGCTTTTGCGTGACAACTATTGGAGGCGGTCTTCCGGCCCCTTTGTCATCAGTCTTATCCGAAATTACATCCATTTCCTCTAAGTCATCCAGAAGATCGAATTTGTTGTGGGTTTCAACTCCTGTAGAAGGTTGTTGTTTCTTTGGATTAGCCATGTTCAATAAATTGTCAGATGGTCTTTTCCTTTGATGCATTTTTGT